CTGTCACTATCTTCTCTACACATTGCTTTCAGAACAATTCCATGGCGATCCCTAAATCTGTTCAACCAGCCCACACTTGCTTGACAGTTATCATAGCCTAGCATGTTGGCCAAGTTTAGTGCTTCTTCTCCGAATGACAGAGCCAATCACGAGAATGTTTTTGGCGTGGATTTCTTGAAACCAAGCAAAGACAGTCTTGTCGATGTCGTCATAGAGGCTGTTCCTCATTCTTTTCCACTGAAGCCCCACAGATGCTTCCCGCATCTTTTCTTCAAACTTGGCGCATTCCTTTAAGAATGTAGACAAAGTTGAGGGAGTGATACCAAATTCTTTTGCCATGTCACCTTTTCTCTGGCCTGAGTCTACAGCTTCCACAACTTTCATTTTCTTCTCCAGGGAGAACTACGGACGTTTCTTGTTCCCCTTGTTTGCCACAGCCACAGAATGAGGGCTGGGCCACAACCACCAGTGCTGTGTCCGCTCTTCCTTGTAGCTTGTTTTGCCACAAGTGTGGAAAACTGAGAAGACAAAATGGGGTACTTATCAGGAACCAAAGACAACAGAGTCTCCTTAAAAGAAAGGCTCAGATTTTAAAAACCTCTATTAGGAAATGATAATGAGGTCATAGCCAAGAAAAGACTGGATTCATGCTACTGACTTTTGTGTAGTGATTACTTATATATAGACTCAGAATGCTTGAATTAGAAGAGATCTTTATGGATGATCTAGTTTTACCTAAACTTTCTGGGATTCTGCAAAAATAATTATCCTGCTCTGTCTCATAGCTTAAAAAAAATGTTGGTAACAGCTTCGCAAAAAGAAATGTACTGTAGAAATTCAAGGGGGTTGTTATCTGACTCATTTCATTGATATAGCAGTTGAGGCCTGGAGAAGGAACTTACCCAGGTTCATATAGCTCAGATTTCTTGACTCAGATTAGTGCTATTTGAAACTCCACAGTCCTGCTTGAAATTCCATCAACCTGTGATCTTCAGAGCTCTATCCCCATTTGGCTTAGCAAGACTTTCACAGTGGGAAGATGTTTCTAGTAGCCACACATTCATTTAGTGAATATTCACAGATGCCAAGTGGTAAAGAAATAGTCATGAACAACAGAGTCAAATTCCAGCTTTTATGAATAGTGGTAGGGGGAAGGGAAACAGCAAGTGAACTGAGAAGTAAGAAGTGTGATCTGCATGAGAGAAATAAACACTGCAAAAGAATAAAAGGGTCAGATCTGTTTACAAAGGGCAGTCAGGGTGGCTCAGAGAAGATGCGGTTTAAGCTGCAATCTCCATGAAGACCCGGGGAAGGGCAATCCAGTAAAGGAAAAGACATCAGCAAAGGTTCAAAAGTCGGGCGAGTACTTGAGATATTCAGAGAACTAAAAGAACTGCATGACTCCAAGTGTGTGACAAAGTTGGACCATTTGAAGATGTTATGTAAGGAATTGATATTTTGAGCACAACAGAAATCCACTGAAGGTTTTCAGGCAACAGAGGGTCAGGATCAGCTTTGCATTAAAAGAAGGATCACTCAGGCTGCTATATGGGGAAGGAACAAAAGAGGGGGCCTCCCTGATGGTGCAAGGGGTTAGAGTGCAGCATTCTAAAGCTATCCACTGCAGTACAAGTTCGATCCCCAGCCAGGGAGCTAACCCACATGACACAGCAGACCTCTCCTGTCTCGCTAGATGTTCCCCTCAGCAGTGTGTGTCAGTTGAGCTGCCTGTTCTGCTCCCCACTGTGCCTTTGTTGAGTCCTCTCATTGCCCCCGGGCCCCTCTGGCCTATACCCCAGTTCTTGTATACATACATATAAATAAATCAATCTTAAACAATCAAAAAAGAAAATGGACCAAAGATGCAGAGATCAGTTAGGATATTAGGATACTGCTGCTGCTACTTTGGGACAGATGATGGCAGAAATATGGACATTCCTTTCCAGGACTATTTTCCCATCTGAAAATGACACATATAGACTCAACCAGGGAGGTCATATCAGATTCTGGCATCCAAGCTCCACCAATACCTACAGAATAAGAATCAATAGGGAATGTATGATTTTGAAAAGCTCCCGGTGATTCAACTACAACTATAACCAGATGATCCCTAAGGTCCCTTCCAGGTTACAGCATTGGATCCTAGACAGATGCTCCGAACTCAACTGTCAACAGGGGCCAGGATGGTGGCATATGTGAGTGAAGTGGGAAGAGGGCATTAACAGTTTTGTGGTCTGCATGCCCTGTCTAGAGGTATTCAGAATTTAATCAAAACACCCCTCTCCCTCCAGAATGGCCAAACAAAACATGATTCAGCAGTAGCAGATGCAGTGATTATTTCGACATTTTATAGAGATTTCTCAAAGAACAAGACAAGCTGCTGTGACTGTCCTGTTGCAAAAGTTAACTTTTACCATCATCTCTATCAACTTATTTATGACTTCCTCTATGTGTCAAGCATTGTGCCTGATGCCAACAAAGATGAGTGAAGCATAGTGCCCACGGTTGAGCTTACCAGGGAAGCCACCACACAAAACACTTCAGTGTACAGAACAAAGAGGTGGGGGAGATCCTGTGGGGTGGTGTGTGGGCCAAGTACTTCAAAGAGGAAATAACAGTGATGTTGGGCCTTAAATAATCAGAATTCATGACATGGAAAGAAATATGTGTAAAGGTAACAGCACTATAGAAAATAAAATGGCATGCTCAGGAAAAATAATACATCTTTAAAGAAGAAAACATGGGCTGTATCACAGTAAGGCCTCCAAAGGATTCTAGCTAGAACTTGGGGCAGTAAGAGGCCTTTGAGGTACTTTGTTGTTTTTTTAAGTTTGAATGACTTCAGATTATACTTTAAAAAGAGTCCTTTGTTGCAGTGTGGAACCTAAGGAAAGAGTTCATTTTCCAAGAAGTAACCTTAAATCTGAAGATGAAGCAGGGAAGCCTAACAAGCCATATAATTTGCCTGTGCTAATTTGAGTGAAACAAGAACCTACTAATGATTTTTTTTTTAAAGATTTATTTATTTATGCATACAGAACTGCCAGAGGTGCAGGGGTGGTGAGAGGGTCACCAGAGACAGAGAAGGGAGCAGAACAGGCAGATCAATGAAGTACACTGCTGAGGGGAGCAGCGGACGGGTCAGGAGAGGTCTGCTGT